AACTCCAGGTCCCAGTTCTTTTTCCCAACCAGAAACAGTGTCTACTACTGATCATGATGTTGTTGTTTCCAGCATTCATGAACACAAACTACAACCCAAGCCCCAGTATCCAACCCAACCATTCCCTTTGAAGAACAACACCTGGAGTACATACTACATACTCAGTTTAAAGAAGATTTCCTAGTTTTATCTCCATGTTCCAGTTCTTCTATCTCTGGACCAGAGGCAGTAGTATCCTCCTTCTCTGATCCTGATGTTGTTGTTTCCAACATTCATGCAAAAAAAAAACCATCCATCAAACCTCAATCAAAATCTTTTGAATCTATCCCCAATCTCTTTACCTAGTATGGCCTCCAATTTACTACTAAACAACATACTGCCTGCAATACCATGGACAAGCTTATCCACAACCCCCTCTCCAAGAAGAAGCATCACAGGCAGCCGCTCCTGAAGTAATACTGCACCCATTGACACTGCTATCTCCACAAAATGTCCACATCACAACTGTCAATTACACAGGGGACCAAATAAACCCCGACAAAGCTGGTTTGTTGCTCTGTATTTTCTTTTTTGCTTTCAGGCATCACAGGCAGCTGCTCCTGAAGTAATACTGCACCCATTGACACTTCTATCTCCACAAAATGTCCACATCACAACTGTTAATTACACAGGGGACCAAATAAACCAAGGCCAAGCCGGTTTGTTGCTCTGTATTTTTCTTTTTTGCTTTTTGCTTTTGATTTTTCTTTTTTATGACTACTTCACCACCTGTGTCCCTCTCCACTATGTGGAAGCTTACCTTCATTGGCTTGACATTCTAAGGGCACCTGCTTCCATGTTCACTGTGGGGCAACTTGCCTTCTGACTTTGCCGTGCCCTTGGAAATGATAGGGGCATGGCTCTCATCCATCTGAACTATCAGTCAACATCTTCTCTGTATCCTGAGTCAAGAAACCTGCCTCAATTGGCTTGATAGTATGCACACCAGTAGAACCTTCTTGTCATGACTAGCAAAACCTCCTCCTCAAAAGGAGGTGCGGCCCCTTGGAGCAACTAGGAGCATCCTTCTTCCTAGTCAGGAGAAGCAATGGCTCTAGCCATCATCATAGTGCCTCTTCTACTAGTTCAATAGGGTTAAATATAACTTTAAGATTTTTTTAATCATGATCAATCAATCCAAAATTGAAGAGAACCAAATTCTTCCCAAGGATAAGAAAATCAGCCTTGTCTAAGACTAAAAAATAAGTCATCTTTTCAATCAGATATTCCAAAACTTAAGAGACTCGCCAATTCCTCCTAAGACTTGATGGATATTTGGTCATCCCTAGTATTGTAATTGGTTATTCCAATATTAAATAGAACCCAATCCCTCCCAAGACTTGTAGAATACTTCATCATTTCCAGCATTACTGGCTGTTCCAAAATCAAATGGAGCTCAATCCCTATCACAAAACATGTGATTGATCATTCCAAAATTTTCTCTTCCAAGTTGAATGTTTGCTCAGTCATTATTGAGATTGGTCATTCAAAAATTAAACTGGTGGTCATTTTTAGATTAAGGAGAATTTTGTCCCCAAGACTTGTAAACACAGCCACAAGCTATACCACCATCAAAACAACAATGGAAATAAAAAACCCAATGATAGCAAAAATATGACTATCGGATGATACTGATTTTACTTATGTGTAAAAATTAAACATGTTCAACACCATGAAGTAGAAGAGGCCCTGGGGAAGCTATAGCCATCAACAATTTCTGGGGGAAGGATGCATCTACTATTAGTACTAGTAGTTGCTACGGGAGGCAGCACTCCTGGAGGTTCTTGGAGGAGGTTGACTGGGGAGTGCAGATGCATTAAGGTATACTTGAACTATTCATAGTGTTATTGTCTCCTTTTGGAGTATGCATTAATAACCAGCATATCTTGAAAAGTGCTCTCCATCAATGGTTCTTTATTACTGGTAAACAAAGGAAAATACTGAAGAAATGGGTTGGTGTTGGAAATGGAAGTAGTAGTAGTAGTAGCATCTTTCAATGCTTCTGTCAATTATTTTCATAAAATCTAATGTAGTGCGATAAGGATAATGTGTTTGTCGCATTGGACAGGAAAGCTATAGGGGGTGGGGGAATGGAGCTTCAGTTGGACAAGTTTTTGAAGGGCAAAGAGAAGAAAATGTCTAGCTCTCTTCTTTAATAATTATGCTTGATGTAAGGCCTGCTTCTAGGAAACAGTGGGGCCATGGATGAGATCTTTATTGTTTTGCTCCCACCACAGAGTATTGTAGGAGCAAAAAAAGGATTCAATCAAAGAGGCTCCTCCTAAAACCACTGGGGTAGAGGAGGAACTTGAATGAAGATCTAGATTTGAGATCCAATCCTTGTAGCAAGCTACATCCCTGAGGATATGGTTTGTTGTCCACTTCTTAATGGTACCGGTAGCATTGCTCTTGCTAAGGTCACAACAAGCATTCAGGACAACAAGCATCCTGGTCTATAGAATGTAAAAGTTGCCAGCAACACATTTCTCACCATAGTGATTTTCTTACTGTTACTTTGATGACAAGCCAAAACTATTATAGCAAACCATAATACAATTCTTACTGACAGGTTATTGCCCATCAGAATAGTATATTACAAACTAAAAAATAGTAATTAAGAAACTGGCTCTTGTACTAAAAGCAAGGGTTGATAAACAACAATACAATCCACCAGGTCAAATTGAGTTTACAGACAGATATTATAACAAGCTGCAAATTGAAACTTTGATTTCTACAGACCTATGTTCATACTGGAAGAAATGTGAAGGAACACTGCTGAGACCACCAAAAAAACCTCAAGATTCAAGTGTTAGTGGACTTCACAACTCAGAGTCAGGTATCAATAGTTCCTCTGCAGATGACACCAGACAAAACCTAGCCAAAATAATTTGAAAACAAACAAGAAGCTACTAGCTATGAAGAAGAAGTGTTAGTGAGAAAGCTGTACAATTACCAGAAATTCACCACTACTACCAAGGAACCAGACCAAGATGTAACCACAAGTGACGGTCCATAAAACCTGGTAAATGAAAACAACCCTCAGTGGAAGATATGTAATTGCTGTAACAAATGTATACAAGATCTCATGACAACCTCATGCAATGAACAGCAGTTATTTTTTCTCTCAAGGATTTATGGCATTATTAAATCAAAAGTAAATCATGCAGGTCAGTATTACTACTTTTACATGATCATGCTTTACAAAGAGTTGGGAGTAATTTTTGCCAACAGAACTCTTGCTGTCACAGGCACAACTGGAACAGCAGTAGTTGGGGAGAACACGTGGTTATGCTTGCTGTCTTATTTATGATAAATCTAATGTTACTCAGGATCCTTCATGGGAAATGAGACTTGTCTCCTTCTTGCGGTGAATGAGATATCATTTGCCAGCATCAAACATTTGGAAACATTGAACAAGCAAGTGTCTCAACTAATTATGTCAGGACCCATCATTCCATCTCTATGGCAATCTACCATTGTTTTTGCAAACAAGGACTTCAATGAACTCCTCCTAGCAATTGGAGGAAACCCCTCTAGTTGAAAATCAACAATTCAACTTGAAACAAAACACAGATTTAAATATGATATAATCTGGCGGGGAGTTTGTTAATGGTTAAACAACAAATGGGTTGAAAGAAGAGCATGTTCAAATCATCATCATTTTGAAAGTTGTAAAACTTTTGGAATAACTCCCAGAGGACATTGCTGATGCAACATAAAGCAATGCAGACAAGCGTGTCATAAATGCTATGTGTTTTCTGAGTTTCTGAAGAAGATATAACATTGTGATCAAGGGTTCAAATCTTAAGAAGCTGAAAGTAGTAACCTGAAAATCAGTAGAACAAGAAAGAACGGAGACATGACAAAATTTCAGAAATACTGCTAACTACTAGCTGCCTCATCAGATGCTGCTATTGTTGCATGTGGAAAGAAATTTTCCAAAAAGGTAGATCCAAGTATGCTTAAATTGTATGTTGGAAGATCTTTCATGAATAATCACATTGGAGATATTGAAAAATATAAAGTAAATTGGGCCTTTATGTGTGAATTCAATTCTATCAAAATAAATTATTAACATTGACCAATATTTTTTTTGATGTGTAGATGCTGAGAAGGTTGAATGGGTAGAGTGGTGGTCCTCAAACACTGCAGCAAAGGCTACTGAACTTTTGATGTCTTCAAGAATATGAACCACCCATCATACTCAAACAAGTGATAGAGGAATGCACTTAACTCAATTTTCAATTAATATTACTATTGCAAGAACTGATCAGGAATTGCAGGGAGGATTATTGGAAACTGTGTTGGTTTCAACATGGTCTTACAAAAGCAATCAGTGGATTTATGCTGTGGTTTCAAGAGTTAGAACTTCCAGTGGTCTATTTTTAAGAGCATATCTTCTCATCTTTACAAAAACAACTCTGGTAACGACACAACATAAAAGAACAAAACTCTGGTGATTGAAAACCTTCTGAACAAGATCTTCCATAATACTTGTGCCCGACCGAAACAATACTGATTGTGATTAACATTATTAATTGTTCATAATTCTACAAGTACATTTTACTATGAAGTGGGTGTAGAGAATATTTATCAATCAACGAAATTGAAGTGTTGAATCTGCACCACATTTAATTTCTGTCTTTCCTCCTTGTCATAGAAAGAGCTTCAGCTTCAAAACATCTATTACAGCATTCGGGAAACTCGCACTCAATTTCTGGTGATGGACCACCACAGTCTGACCACAGGTCATCAAGAAGAAATTTGGACCGAAGATTGCAAATTGAGTCCGGCATCGTTCCAATTATTTTGTTATTCTGCAATAGCAATTCATTTAACTTCTTCAATTGCCCATCTTTGATTGGTGGAATCGTTCCTGTTAGATTATTGCCGTCAAGATAGAGATCTCTCAAGTCTGGTGGTCTTGCGAACCGTGATGGGATGGTTCCTTTCAGATTACAGTTTGACATGTATGCTAATCGAAGTGTCTCGATCGAAAAGATCGTTTTCGGAATACTTCCTTCCCACATATTGTTCGAAACATCGAAATAATCGAGCTGCTTGTAGTTCCTAAATACATCTGGAATTGTTCCAGTCCAGAAATTGTCGTTCAATCGAAGGCTCACTGGGGTATTAAATGCAGAAAGAGCAGTGTTAGGAAGTCATCTTCAATACTTCATACCAAGTATGAAAGCGGAAACAATCTTAAAATTTTCTCGAAGTACCATACTCACCCAAACTTGTCATAAAACCAATCGACTCAGGAATTTTACCTGACAGATTGTTGTTTTCAACTCGAAAAATTTCAAGATCGGTTAATTGACCGATTGAATCTGGAAGAGTACCGACTAAAAAATTGTTGTCTAGACGAATGGTATCAAGACTCGCAACATTGAACAGCTGACTGGGGATTACATCAAAAAATGAATTGTCATTCATTACCAAACCTTCTAGAGGAATGAGTCCGAGTTCGCTCGGAATCCTTCCCGTAAGCGCATTGTTGTTGACATAAACTGTTTTGAGATCACGGAGGTCGCCAATATTCGAAGGAATTGATCCCGAAATCATGTTGTTTCCTGCCCAAAGCTCCTTCAATCTCCGCAACGATGTTATATCTGCGGAAATCGATCCAGTAAGCTGATTGTTACTAATCCGATAGCTTACAAGTCGCTCCAAACTAGTAATTCCACGTGGAAAGGCATCTCCTGTGAGAAGATTATCTTGTAGGTCCAATGTGACCAGGCTCGAAAGCCTCGAGAGACGATTTGGGAGTTTACCGGTAATTGAGTTCGAAAACAAGTCGACCTTTTGCAAAGTGCTCACGGCAGAAATTTCATTCGGAATGATGCCATTGGCATTGTTAAGGGCTAACAAAGAGAGATTGAAAGATATTAGATTGTTCCTGACAACATCTTAATCGGGCATTCAGAGAATTTCGTTGTTCTTACGTACCAAGATTTAGGCTTGTTGCGAACAATCCTTCGTTGCATTTAACTCCGAACCAGTTGCATTCTTGAACTCCTGTTAGCCACCCAAGGTTGTTGGTCCAAGAATCGCCATTTGTGGCGAAATAGAATGTGGATAGGCCATACCGTTGCATCAAAGTAGGAGAGCAAATGAATGATGGCTCTTCCTCAAGTAAAAATGAATAAGCCATTCCCTGAGGGGTATTGATATTCAAGAAAACAGATCGATCGGTTGTGCTTGAGACTGCTTGATAAAGATTTCTCTCCTTATCTGCTGCGATGCACGGTCTCGTAGGAGCGGAGAATGGAGCGGGTGTGGGTGGGTTCGGAAGCGTTGGTACTTCGACGGGGTTGTATGTGAAAGGCTCAGATGGGGCATTGATAGGAGCTTTGGTCGGAATCGGCACTCGTGTTGGAAGTGTTGGACCAGGTAGTGGGCTTCTGGTCGGCCGCATATCTGTAGGTTCTTTTGATGTTGGAAATTCCGTAGGTGTAATCGGTGCAGTAGGCGTCTTGCTATTAGGTGGCTCGCTGCTCGGTGATTTAGTTGGCATGCTCATACTCATTAACAGCCTGTCCATCATTGATTCTAAATAGGCTAGCCGTCGACCCTGCACTTTTTGGTCTTGTTTGTCTTCAAAATTATCCCAAAGAGACTCTAAATATTCCCTCGCTGTGTCATCGCGATTGTTGATCATTTCGTTTGTGACATCGCCGTTTCCATTTATACGTTTTCGCTCGAAGCGATTCTTGCCATTTTCGTCGTTGTTGTTAGCATTCGCTGCGGAAAGTACAGCACAAGTGCAAATCAAAAGTAATTGTATTACAACCACACTGATTGACCGTGACGTCGATGTCATCGTCTGATTTTTCTCTGTATTTCTGTTCGATGATTTCGTTTGCGCAATAACTACAAGTACCGGGATTGCTATGTTTTGTGGCCATTGGTGGAATTCAATTGAATGCCTGATATTGATAGAGAGTCGGTCAAGTGATGTCACAACAGAGAATCTACTAATCGCAGTCCATTGAAGCTTAGTACAAAACCATGGATGAATCTTGGGTTTTTCTTAGAAGACCGAAAAATTGTCGAGACAAAATCCAACGCATCACATTTCACACTCTAAAAAGTAGATATTATTATGGTTCGGGATAATAGGGTTGATCCTATACACGGGACTCAGGAGAGTAAGTCAGTCAATCGCAACAGAAACATTTCAACCAATTTGAAAATATGAATGCTAAAGAACTGTAGCGTGCGGGGTCAATTTTGCTCACAATTGTAAATTGGCGCCAGAAACCTCCATTTTGAATGAGAGTGAGAAACGCCTGTCACATACTGAATGTGGAGGGAGTTCAGAAAAACGATTGCTTGGTATTTGAAGCTTATGTCATTGACACACATACACGAACCGCAGATCCATACACCTCCAACTCTACGTTTTCCATGACCATCTCCGACATCTGTGCTCAGTCTCTCGTGTCTTATTTTAGTCCAGGGAAGCTACCCCCCAACCTTTCGATATTCATACAACTAACTGTAGTCCGACCATCACAGTGGCAAGGGTACTTGTAACATTTCGAGACGAAGCAACTGAAAAGAGGAACGTGGGCGAGGTGTTCATACATCTCCTCATCGAAAAACAAAGAGACAACAATGGTCGTGGTAGTAGCGAGATCTCTGACCGTTACTGCCATATTAGGTTTCGTGACATCATGTAATGCTCAGCCTATGAGAAGAAGACCTCTTTCTACTGTGCTAGAAGTTGAAGACCTCGAATCTTATCCGAGTCATCTGGAACAGGCAGAGGTGGACTTTGACGTAAGGAATAGCGGTAGCAGTAGAAGTAGCAGAAAAGAACAGGATCGGAGGGGTCTCGGTAGGACTTGGGGGCACGGCAAGGAAGAGAAACACAGCAAGCTAGGGAAGACGAATCGTTCAAAGGGAGATAAGAAATCAGGGAAACGAATGAAATTCGACAAAGTACTTGGAGGTCGCAAATCGAAGTCTGGAAAGAGTAGAGACGCTTTGTGGGACGATGTGATTGGCATGTCCATGTCAATGCCATCATCGCCGGTTGATAATCCTGCGAACCCCCCCTCGGCAATGACTCCGTCGAGGGAAACACAGAAGCCAACACAGAGACCGACACCAAAGCCGACGAATGCACCTGTACCTCGTACCCCTTCACCAACACGAACACCTGGATGCGAATCTTTACCAAAAGAAGAAGTACTGAAGGAAACTCTCGAAAAAGTGACGCAAACATCCATTTTGGAGGACTCCTCAACACCTCAAGGAAATGCTTTTCTCTGGATGCTCAATCGAGACCCGGCGCAGGTAGATCCATGTACGTACGGCACTGTAGAACAACGTTACGCCCTGGCAACCTTTTTTTATTCCACCAATGGAAGCGGCTGGGACAACTCTGATGGTTGGCTTGTGGAATCCAACGAATGTGCATGGAGCGGAATCAAATGCGATGGAGATAACCGTGTTATCGAACTTGGGGCTGATGATGCACTTGGTAAGTACTATTTCTATTGAAATGAATGGATTGATGATGCTTTAGTTGTTTGACATTTTGATTTCTTCCGCTCTAGGGATTGAACATGCTAAAAAATAAATATGATCCTTTCTATTGACTTTGTCTTTCTTCAGTTGCAAACGATTTGTCAGGTGTCTTACCCGATGAGATCAAGGCGTTGAAGAGATTAGAAATGATACAGGTCGGTGCGAACGCAATCGGAGGGTCAATCCCGGATGTTTTAACCGACCTTCCCAACTTGCGTCATTTTGACGTCGAAATCAACTCTCTTTCTGGACCGGCATTCGTAAACTTGGAAGGTCTGGATCAACTCGAGAGTTATCGCATTTCGGCAAATCGATTCTCTGGAAGAATCGATCCAGCTATAGGCGACATCACGTCTTTAAAAGAATTATGGATGGCAGACAATCAGCTTACTGGGCCAATTCCAGAAACATTCGGAAACCTCGTCAACATCGAAACCCTTTATATGTATCGTAACAATCTGGTCGGAAGCCTTCCAGATAATCTGGGACAGATGGGAAACCTTAAGGAACTGCAGATATTCAACAATTTCTTGTCAGGAACTATACCTGAAGGTTTGTATAGCAACACCGAATTGGGTCTGATGAGATTGGATGGCAATAAATTTACTGGAACTGTCTCCGAGTCGATTGGCAACCTAATCAAACTTGGAGATTTGAGAATCAACGAGAACTTATTCACAGGAACATTACCTGGCTCGTTTTTCAATTTGTCCCGTCTAGGTACGTGCCTTGATTACATCGGAAAATGAGAAAATTTCCTCTACAAATCTTTGTCCTCTTCCCGCCGAAGACCAAACTCACATTTTAATGGATCCATTCTTCCAATTACAAATTAAGTTGTTCTGCGACTGAATAACAATAATTTTGTTGGAACCCTTAGAGATGGTTTCGATTCTTGGCAGAGTCTTGATTTCGCCGACTTCCGAAACAATGGATTCGAGGGAACACTTCCAGGAACAATATTTGATATCCCAACGATTCGGATTTTATATTTTTCCAACAACAATTTGGGTGGAACTCTTCCCGCTACATATAGCAACTCGCCAGTCCTCCGTGATCTATTTTTAAGCGGCAATCAACTGTCGGGCACGATTCCTGGCATTCAGGCCGGTCAACTTTCGGTGCTTACCGAACTTTTGCTGGAGGATAACCGATTTACAGGCACCATGGCAGAATCTATTTGCAACCTCCGAGCATCGGGACAGGGATTGCTAGAGGACTTGTGGGTTGATTGCGGAAGAGACGCAGATCCTAGAATCGAATGTGACGTACCGGGATGTTGTACAGCTTGCTTTCCTTCTTTATCTTCTTAGGGGTACGAGGTAATAAAGGATCCACAGAGAAACAAAAATTACTCATACGGCTCAGTATGTCACTCTTTTTGAGCCATTTACTCTTATTCATTCATTCATAAAAGCCTTTAAGAGCAGGTTTCGAATTTCTTCAATATTCTAAACAATACATTGTCTGCTAGAACAAGTGCAATTATAGTAGACCAGCACTTCAAGATTGAAAAGTATACCAGGCTAGTAACATTTTGGAAGTAAAGATTATGTTCAGGTTTGTGCTCAAGCTTCACTCTTTCAGTAGACAACCGCAGCACAACCCCCCTTCTGTTCACAAGGATTCTACATGATATGTCAATATTTTTAGTACTAAACAGATCTTCAATTTCACTCCTACTAGTTACAACACAGAAATAGCACTGCCACTGTAAAAGTGGTCTATCCTTCATCAGGTTCTGCTCAGAGAAATAATCAGGTTTTGACTTGCAATAACTTGGTCAAAATTAGTACTGCTATGATTGTTGTCTGGACCTTGTAATTACTAGATCAGTTTTTTGTTAGGGTATTAAGCATTTAGGTTCTTACTGTAACCAGAAACTTCTTTTTGATCAACTTAGTATAGTATACCTTCAAACTTTCAGAGGTATTACTAAATGGGTACACCAAAAATACATTTGCTACTGAAAATATTGGCATATTCAGAATCCTCATGCAAAATTGGTATAGGAACAAGGCTATGCAGGAGACAGATCATAGTATTAGTATTTTGGTAAAGCTAGTATAACTACTTTGCCTGTACAAGAAGTTGGATAGTAGTTTTACAAGTGTTATGCAATAAGAATGGAAGTTGAAAAATTCCAAAGCGTGATATTTTTCTCAGAGATTCCAAGGAAGGAATATGAGTTTCAACGCAATGTGCACCCCCTCTAAATTATTGCCCCTGGTCATTGCTGAAGGTGCGTTTCAAGAAAAATACTTACTAATCTATCAACTTGTTACTTGACTAAGTGGTGCTGATAGTACTAGTATGCACTTAACCACGTGTTGCCTAAATGCAGCACTAGTAGAAGAAGGAGTAGGAGGTACAATATCATATGCTTGGTGGTGGTAACGATGCTTCTTGTTGCTTGTAGATAGCTAGTAGTACTACTATTAGTACATAGCTATCATGGGTACTAGTACTACATTGTACTGGTACTCATTACCTCTAATAAATGTATTGTAATCATTTTAGTCATATAAGTAAGGTTTAGGATTCGTAACCTGTGATGAATTGGAATCATTATCGTTAGGTTTACCCATGGTGGATAAGAAATGAAGCAGTAAATATGTACTAGTAGAACTGTAAAGGCCCTGACTGAAAATTAGTGTCTTTTCTACTAACATTTTGATTGGGTTGCTGATTTATTTTCAACCGTTAGTGATGTCAACCACTTAGCCGTTCTTAAGTGCTTATGAGTTCATCAATTTTCTGTCTGTCAGTCAATTAGTAGATCTGTCACATACCCAGCACAGGAGGTGTTTGCCCGGGCATTTTAGAGCAACTTTGGCGTTAATTTAGAGTTAGGGATAATGGTGATATTCTGTGGGAATCAAGCAATATGATTGGCTAATTTGACGCTTACATCATTCACAAGGTACATTACACTGGTCTGGACCCAAAATGGAGAAAGGAACAGACCAATGTCAAGGGTCAAGGGGGAACAGAGCGGTTTCAATGGGGTAACTATTTTCGGTAATTTTAATCATTCTATTTGGCCAATCAAATTGCTTGATTCTGACGAATATCACCGTTATCCCTAACTCTAAATTAATAAATTAATGCCGAAGTCGTCGTCCCAATCCATCGTATCGTTCAATCACCTGTGTACCGTACAGAAAGTACAAGATTTTTATTTCGCTTCTACAGTACGAGTAGCGAACCGCAAATCGATCATCAAAATCAAACACACGGCGGTAAACGGAAATTGGTGTCTCCGGAGCACAAGTAGATAATAAACATCTCTGAACTCGCATCAGATCAAACCAAAATGCAGTGCGTGAGTAGCGTAGTTTCCTTGTCGATCATATGCCTTACTTTTAAGTCAATATGGATTCGAGCATTTATTTTTGAAACGTTACCATTGAGATTGGACACTTCCCGTCCAGGATTTTCACGGGACAATATCCTTCAGCTCGGTAGTACTAGCGATGCCAACATTTACAGACTTTTTCTTGAGCAGAATTCAACAAGGAACTCGTACTCGATTCATCTTTCTAACAGCAGGGAGACTGCTCTAGGAGTAAAGCTGTACCGTTTCGGAGGGTCAACAGTAGAAGACCACATGGAGGCAAATCCAGAACTCACTTCGCGAGATGATGCACTTCGTTTCCTGACACCAACCTTCGACGATTTTGGCAAAGGGAAAGTTTATTATGGGGATGGCACTATCGGGGAGTCGCTTCAATTTTTTGCGCTTGGCGACGACAAGTCATCGCTCGTTTCCTTGGAAAAAAACAACGAAGAACATGTGCATGATTTACTTTTGCAAAATCGTCGAGTTATTGCCTCAATCGAAGCAGTAAAAGAGCCAATCGAAGAAAAAGAATTGGAAATAAGAGTCTCAATTGAATTGAAAAATCTTTCAGTTCATGAAGATTCTAGACGGCGTGGTATTGGCAAGGCGTTGACAAAAGCTGTTCAAGATTATGCTCGCTCCGAAGTCTTGGTCTTGAAGGAACAAAAGAATAAAAAAGTTGAAGGGTTAGTTCACCTCCTTGTTGAAGCAAAGAATGCAGGCGCTGTACGACTATACGAAGAAAGCGGTTTCAGGAGAATTGGAATCGGAAAAGATCCATTATGCAAAATGACATGGTCGATCGATGAGAGCTGACATCAATTTAGGACAGTATTGCTGAATCTGTTAAAATCTTCAAGCTTTGGAATTCGATGGATGGGGCCAATTATAGTATCACCGCTGATTAGGATATGTTTATGAAACTACCTCCTACCTTACGTTCTTTGAAATCTGCAGCTTTCGATGCTATCTCCTTTTGGACATTTTTGTACTGCACCGAGTTAACTGTAAAAAAAGTACGTTAATACGTTCTAACTGCTGGTACCGGTAGGAACATTGATTCACTTCCATAGTAAATCACCGTACCGTACTGTAATACCTGTAATACAATACATACGATTCTCGTTCCCTAGCTCTAATTTTTTATTTTTGCGTGAAAGGACGAGTCCGTTCGGTCGGTCGCAACTCTCATTCAGGGCCCAGTGCGCAATTTTGAAAGCTTGCATTTGGGCGCGACATTTTGTTCAAGTGGGAGACTAGAATCACGAACCACGAGGAGGTGATGCGTTCTTGTTTTGAAAAGTTCGAGCATCGAATGAAAAACATTTTTTAAAAAAAGATTCGAGAAAGGACGAGTACGAGTACGTACGCGTGTGTACTATCCATATTACAGTACAGTATCTCAAAACCAGAGCTCCCACACGATCGCTCCACACAATCCAGATGTCGAAAGAAATAATCAATGTTTGAAAGCACTTCTTTGCTCTGTTGACCAAGATAAAAGTAAAAGTTTTGTCACCTGAATTGCATTTCACTTTTTGTTTACACTCGATCATTCTTCTCAATTTGAGTGGACACTCCACACCATGTCATTTCTTCTTCAGAAATCCACCCATAGAAGAAATATCCAGAACGGTGGATTATCGCGATTATCTGTGAGGAATTATAGCAATAGCAACGTTGCGAATGGAACCTTTGGGGATAATGATTCAAGAATGGTTGCGTTCAATCGAGGAGGTCAAAAAAAGTCAAATCAACATATATCAGGGAATCAGATTATGTTGCAAGGCCAAAGAATTGCAGGCAAAACGAATCAATTTCAACAAGAACGGCACCAGAATCAAGAAGACACGGAGAAGCAGCAACAGGCAGCACGACAGGAACAAGGGACCATAGGGGACTATACTATGGATGAAAGTAAGTATGAAGCATGACATGAAATACAGATACTGTTTTGATTATTCACTCTGATCCTTAATGATCTTCTCTTCGTCTTCTCCATCAATTTCTTCTTTCACTTGCACGGCATTTGCACAGTCATGCAAGATCTTGTCATCCTCGAGCAGCAGCAACGTGAGGCACAGATGAAATTAGTTTCTGCACAGACAATGAAGCAGAAGCGACTTGAGCATCAGCGGCAACTCAACTCTTTTCTAGAAAAGAAGAATTATTCGAACGGTGCACTCAGAGCAAAACTTTTGCAGTGTCGAGAGTTTCTTTCCGTTGCCACTCGAGATCTAAGCAATCGCAAACTCGTAACGGATAGGTTGCAGGACGGGATAGCAGATTTTGAAGCAAAACTTAAAAGAGGCATCAGTTCGGCCAGAATGGTTCGGATTTGTAACGCGAAAATCGATTCACTTCTAATCACTGTCGACCACAAAATTGCGAACATAACTCGCCTCAAGGTGGAAGCAATCAAGATCAACAAGGAGTCACGCAAGAAGTACGAGCGATTGGAAGAAAGAGACAAAATAATCCGACTAGCCATTCAAGATGCCCTCGAAAAATCTCGTCTTCTGGTTCGAAGAAAAAGAGATTTTCGATCCGTTATTGAAAAACTTGATCACGACAAAATGATTGCACAGAATACTGAGCAACAGATCGAACTACGAACTCGGAGTGCCCATGACCAAATCAAGGCAGAAGAGGATCGTCATTCTTCGGCGAAAGCAATACTTTACCGCGATATTGAAAAGGTTACTAGACAGAGAACGACCGTTGCATTCGAGATTCAGGAAGGATGTATCGCCCTTCAAAATTTGAATGCCATGGAGCAAACGCAGAAGGAAAAGATCAGCCGATGCAGCAAAACGCAGGGACATGACTTCAATTTTCAGGAAAAAGAGATCTCCCCTTTTTCAGGTCAAACTCAGTTTCGTACAGACTTAACACGGCTGGAATCAGAAGCGACAAAGGGTGAAGACAATTTGGACAGTTTGAACAAACAAGTTGAAGATATAGATCAGGCGATCGAAGAATCGAGAAAGAGAACCGCTAGAAATCAAACGGAAGCATCAGCCCTCATTACTTCAGCCGAGATGACTACCAAAGAGGAAGAAAAACGACGACAAATGTTGTTGGAAATCCAGACCTCGCTCGAAGCTGCTCGTGCAGAAGTCTCGAAGCTCGATGATAGCTTTAGAGAGATGAAAGAAAACCGGATTGCAGAATCTCGTGCTCACTTGAAGGATATGTCCTGCAACGACATCGGGATCCAAAAACAGATCCAGGTGGTTGAGAATCTCAAATTGAAGATGAAATTACAGGAAACTTCTCTCAAGACCGAAATTCGACTTTTTGAAGATACCGAAAAGCCGCGAATCGCGGCGAAGCTCAAGCAAGCCGAGGAAAATTCACGAAAAGAAGAAAAGAAATACCAAGATGTGCTGAAAGAGTCTAACGACAGTTCAATTGATTCAAAGCTTCGAATACAATTGAAGGAAAAATTTAGCGACGAAATGATGGAATGGAATGTTCACAATCAGAATGCGATTCAGAGATTCTCTGAATTTGCGGAGAGTAAGTACATCGTATGAAATGTTTAGTGCCATGTTTTTTTCGGTTCATTTCATACCACAACCTTCTGACTGATATGTCAACTTCATCACGTTCTAACTTCATTGATTCGTTTTTGCAGAGTTTCCTGATCTCCACAAGATTGACTGTTCATTTGATGATAAAGAAAATAGATCTAAGCAGATCAACATTGCACTCGAGGAACTCAAAAGTAATTGCGATGCACGAACAGGCGCTTTCAAGGCCGCAAAAGAGAAAAGAAACCAACAGAAGAGAGAACTGCAGTTGCAAGCAGAAGCACTTGAGTCGAAAATAAAAAGAAAAGAAGAATTGAAGGCAAACCTCAAGAGACGTCAGCTTCAAGAAGCATCAAAATGGCGAGTGACAAATACGAATGACGACGAAGAAAAATGTCATCGATTGAAATCAATCGACGACCGGAACCTATCTCATGAGAACAGTGCCGCTGTAAAATACCGGTCAAGGCGTAAAAAAGGATCAGACTTCTTCAATCCAATAGAAGACAATCAAGATACGTTGTATACTGATTCAACACCTAGTCAACCGCGACAATTGATCTCTTCTTTTCTATCACAAAGCAGTGGGCAGCGAGTTCGATGGAAAGATGACGATGGCAAGAAAACTTGTGTTCAGAAAGAACTTGTTAGAGACCATTCAAAAGACCCTATGTCTCTGGACGAAGCTACCATTACTCACGGTAGAGAAGCCAAGCCGAATCAGACAAAAGAAAAACATGGTTCATCCAGAAAGATGACCAATACTTCCACCGCAGAGAAGAAAAAACCACAATTATCAATGTCTGAGAATAGCTTCAAATTGGAGAAAGATTCCTTAGATGATTGTAAAAGGCCTCTGAAAGGTAGACGTAGGAGACGCCTTCGTAACTCGGATAGAACGTCATTACAAGATTCATATCATAACAAGGAGTTGAACCGACACACTTCTATCCATATCCTAAAGAAGACGTCAACGAGTTCTAGTTCTCCAACGACCCTCAGGAGAAACAAAAGAGTCGGAGACGTGCAATATGAGGGCAAAGATATTCACATGAAGAAACGGAAGAAGTCAGACCATGGTGGCCGACCGAGTTTGTTTGTGCGTGACACCTCATCCTCTGATCATTTAGCTTCAACAGAGGCGAACAGGGAAGGTGAAAAGAGTACATTCGATGAGCGTGAGGGAGGAAATGCACCGAAACATCGAAAGAGGTCTCCAAGGTATGTTCGAAAGGGTAGTCTGACGGAGGCCTCGCAAACTTCAAAGGACGAGAACGCTACGGTGAAGATACTGAAATCGGGAGGCTCGTCGTCAAGATCTTCACGCGACGAAAAAAAACAAAAGAAAATCAATGATAGATCTTCTGGAAAAGAAAACTCTAGCGTCAATCGTTACAAGAGCGAATCGATCGAGGCCATTTCATCGAAGGACAATAAAGAAAGAGAGAAAGGAATCGCTATCACTAATGCTGATGGGAGGTCTCACAAGAGTTGGAGAGACGAATCCAAAGGAGGTATTTCTACTGCGTCTAGCAGGAAGCGGATCTATAAGAAGAACGACAAAACAGATGGCATCGAAATGGATAGAGATACATCATCTGCACAGGCTGTAAGGAAAGAACTTGGCAAGAGTGAGAACGAAAATTCTAAGATTCATCGTCGTGAGACCTTACTGGTGCGGGCCATAAGTAAAGAATCTCGAGATAAAAGCAACGAAAAGATGGCATTATCCGGACGAGACACTCGTGAAAAATCTAACCGGAAGGCTTTCAAAATGACCACACAGGTTAGCGGCAATGAAAACCCCAAGAAGCCCACTGAAAAGTTCGCGTCATCAACGCGAGGTACTGGCACTAAATCGAAGGAGAAGACTCTCATAAAATCAACCTCAACTACACGAACCACCACACAACAACGTCGCGAGAAGACTTCCGAAAAATTAACTTTATCTACAAGAAATATTGACTGCAATTCAGGAGAGAAGATTCGCAAAAAAATAACCTCGTCTTGCACAAGTTCTGGCAGAGAATCTCATGGGGAGGCTACCAAGAAAGCTAGCAAAAATCGAAGCTCATCGGCGCAAGGAACCAGCGGAGAATCGCAAGAGAAAAGTAGCGGGAGGTCAACCTTATTTTGCGGAAGTTCTAGCAGAGAATCTCACGAGAAGGCTACCAAGAAAGCTAGCAAAGATCGAAGCCTATCGGCGGAAGGCACCATCAGACAATCGCTAGAGAAAAGTAGAGGGAGGTCAACCTTATTTTGCGGAAGTTCTAGCAGAGAATCTCACGAAAAGGTCAACAAGAAATTTAGCAAAGATCGAAGCTCATCGGCGCGAGGCATTAGTAGAGAGTTGCGAACGCGAAGTAGAACTAGCATAGAATCAACTGTATCAGTTCGTGGTAAGATATCTCGTAGTCATTATGTTGAAACGGCAGACAGGACCAAAAAAAGGCTGTCTGTAAGGAGTGATGTCAAAGAATCTCACGAAGGTGTTTGCGAGAAAACCACTACGAGTGCACGAAATAGATCTGATCAAAATTGTAGGAAGGAGCAGCGAAAGAACTTTCGCTGCAAGTTGAGCTTATCAGTGCCCAGCAATGATTTTCGCAATGATGAATTTATTCGTGGAGATATCGCGAAAAAACAAAAGTCTTTGAAAAGCAGGGTGTCGTCTTCCGTAAAAGGAAATGCAGCAATCAAGAAGAGGAAGGCAGAAGCCGAGTATAGTTCCCTTTCGACGTCAAACACATCTAGAAATACTCGTCGCCGGAAGAAAGGTACCAGTGCATCGAGATCCAGAGCTTCGATCACCGAGGATACGTCGTGCGAGCTTGATTTTCAGTAAGAGAAGCCGTTTTCATTTTACTATCCACATCCCAAAGAGCCAATTTTGTACTGTTTGTGCCATCTGCAAGATAGGTGCGGATGCTAAGACTGAAAAGACGAATCCAGAAAGTGATATGGTACGATAGGTGAGATAGCTATAAATACTAAAGTAGTCAAATAGTTTATCGGTGTGGCAAGAGACAGAAATTGAAAGAATGGCATTCCTACAATTTAATTCGACATCATTGCCAACCTAAAAAGGGCATGAATGCCCAAGGGTCGAGCTCGAGAATGAGCTGAGACCTATATCCCACTGCACTAGCCTATCAATGGTCTGTACAAGGCGAATCGGAGTTCTGAACTTTATGTGTATAATATAGAAAGCATCGGTATCTTTTGAAAGGCTGCGCTTTGCTAGATCCTCCATTTTGGATAGTCCTTGGTGCTGCAGTCATCTTCCGGACTATCTCAACGAGTTATCATGCACCTCGTACACCCAATACTGTGTGTTTTGCATCTCCACCATCGAATGAATTATAACGCGATTCAATTTTCTCTTCTTTGACCGTCAACCTCGGAATGCCTCGAATGATGACTTCCAACACTAGGACTTCTACGACGACGGTGATCACTATCACGTTGCCGTCTTCCATGTCGTTCGCTCTGCTTTCGTTTCTCTTCGATTGCATCCTCGAAACTTCTCGAACGGTTGCGTTCCCCCCGACGGCAATACCGATCGCGCGTTTCGTTCGGTGCTGTGTTCCCCTTTGATGTTCGTTTGGACGGCGTACTCGTACCCAACGATCCACCACGGCTACCGCTGCCAACAGAACCGCTCCAGCAACTGGATTCGTCGCTTTCGTAGCGCCGGCCTTTGGATCTTCTGCTGCCCCCCTCCCCTTTTTCGGAATCGCCGCGCCGGCGGCTTCGTTTTCTGTCCTTTTTCTCCCGTTTTTTGCTGGCATGTTTGCGGTGCTCTCTGCGGTTGCGGCGATGGCTGCTGCTAGACGACTTGTGGCGTTTCCGATGGTTTTTCTCATCGTCCTCGCTGTGGTCACCGTCGTCTCTTCGACTGCCGTCCGAGTCGGTCCCATCGCGATCGCTGTGCGTCCGCCGGCGGCGTTTCTTTTTCTTTCGTCGTCGTTCGTCTCTCGACGAGGACCGTCGCCGGCTGCGATCGTCGTTTTCGTTTTCCTTTTCGTCGCTGCGATCCCGGTACCTTGCGTCTCTCGCGTCGCCTCCACCGGAAGCCTCCGGTTTCCGGTCGTTCGCGATCCCGACCGGTCCCTCCGCGGCCGTCATCCACGCCGGGAGGGTGGCGCCCCGTCCCCGTCCCATGGGCGCTCTGCGGTAGTTGCGGTCGGTCCCGGGATCCGGGCGATCGGGAGCAAGCGGATCGGGCTGGGCCGGCTCCGGTTCTCCCTCGTCGTCGTCGACCAGGGTGTAGCCCCCCCGAAAGGTCTGTTTCGTCGATGCACCGAGGCTGCGGTTGTGTTTCAACACCAGCCGGTCCATGGGATCTCGCGCCACCCCCATTCCGATCATCGAATTCAGGTTCGTTTCCAGCTGCGTCTTGGCGTGTTCCCTGGCTTCTCGTTCCCGCCCCAGGTCCCGTCCCGTGCCGTCCTGGGAAACGTCCTTCATGGACAGGCCGACCCGGAAGCGGCCGTTTTCCCGCGGCTCTACCTCCAGTACCTTCACCCACACGCGATCGTCGACGCCGACGACGTCCTCGACCTTCTCCACCCGGGTGTCGGACAACTGCGAGACGTGGACGAGGCCCTGCCAGGTCCGTCGCTGCCGCTGTCCCTGTCCCTGGCCATCGTGGTGGCGGTGGTGGTGACCGGCCACCAGCGGCCCAAAGGCGCAGAACGCCCCGTAGGGCTGGATCCGCTCGATCGTCCCCTCCCACACCCCGCCTACCGTTGGGGGAGGAGGCGGGCGCTCGCTGCCCTTTCGGCGGTACCGGCCGTTGTCGTCGTTGTGGTCGTCGCGGCTGCTCATAGACACAGATAGGACAGGAAACAGGACAGGAAGCGAGTGGTTCGAAGAGGAGTGGGTGAACAGGCTCGTCCACTTCTTTGGCTGTTGCTGTTGCTGTTGCTGTTGCTCTTGATGTGTCTGTTTCTCCATCACCCCGATCGATGGGTTTGGAGATTTTTCTAGAACAATGCCGACGACAGAGAAGCGTTAAAGGTAAGTATGTATCATACATATGGTAGATACCTACTTATCCTGCTGTAGAGCATGAGTCTGTGATTCTAGAATCTACGATCTACGATCTACGATCTACGATCTACGTTCTGTTCGGTTCATTTGAGTCGTAGGAGTCGCATTCATCGCTTTCGGTCTCGTGTATCGGTTGGCCATTGGCCATCCCATCTCCGACGCCACTGCGGTTACGGTTACGATAGTACGGTACCGTACGTAGCGTAGGAATGGTTCTCGTACAGAACGGAGCAGAACGAAGGATACAGTACCGTACTGTACAGTACCGTACGAATCAACCGTGACATCTCTGTACCGTACGGTACAATCTCCACCATCGCAAGGATCAACCCAAAGCTTCGCAGTGACACCGCAACGCGCCAACAAAGTCCACCAGACAGTGCGACTTCCACCATACGCTATCACACACGGAACAGGTGCCACACCACCCGATCCACCTCCCTCTCAMCCCGTCGTTGTCTATGAAAGGCTTCCCGCCCGCCCACCCGATATTGGTGCTTCTCTCGATGTCCTCGTCGCCCAAGAAACAGCCGCCATCGCCATTGCCATCCCCGTTGCATCCGTGCGCCTGCTCGGTCTTTGTGGCAACCAGCAGCGACGGATACATCGCCGACAGGGACCACAAGGTCGATTGGCTCAACGACCTCCGGGAATCCCACCCGCTGCCGGAGGGAGACGACGGCGGGTTCGCGGACTTTCTCGAGAGCGTGGACGCCATCGTCATGGGCCGGGTCACATCACCTACGACGCCGTTCTGGGATTCGTAGAGAGCGGGGTGGCTCCCGGGTGGCCCTACCAGAACAAGCCCCTGTACGTCTTCACGCGGACGCCCGGGGCCGTTCGGCCTCCCCCARGGGAGGTCCTYKCCGGAAGGGGCAGCAATGCCCGCGTTCGGGCGGTCTCGGGGGACCCGGCCTCCGTCCTGGCCACCGTGGCCGGGGAGGCGGAAGGATCTCCGGCAAGAACCGCCGTGACACGCGTCTGCGTCTACGTCGACGGCGGGAGGTGCATCCGATCCTTTCTCGACGCCGGGCTCGTCACCTCGGCAACCATTACAAGGGTCCCGGTGACGCTCGGCGACGGCGTGCCCCTCTTTTCGGAGGAGCAGGCCAGCAGGCTCCGAGAAACGAGATCGGTGACCCTGGCGAACGGATTCGTCCAGACCACGTTCGAGGTGGTATAGACCAAGCCAAAGCAGACCAAAGCAAAGCAAAACGAAAGTCCTGGCGAATGGCTTACGGCCCAAAGCAATGCGAACAATGCGAACAATTCCAGCAAAAACCACAAACCAATGCCGGATGCAAATTCACTACAAGACAAAGAGATACTACGCAGCAGTATCCGTGGGGTACTCGTCAGGGAATCAAGGAAGTAGTGCGATTCCATCTCTCTGACTTTGAGCACGACCGACGAGGGTGATCGCAGGAACAGCAAACGGAAAAGTGGGCATCGTATTGAACAGGGCACGTACTACGAGTGACAACGTGGTCGAAAGAAGCAGGAACACACAATTTCACGTTGAGACTTTCTCATTGAACCACTGGCGTGCCGTATGATGGATATTTTTCCGAAGAATTTGGAATCGCATGACAGCAAGCAACGAAAGGAAAAAAAGAGGTCTTCAGGGAAGTCATCGAGACGTTATGATTAAAAGAATCGCATTCATTGGCGTTGCATAGAGAATCAAACAGCATGGCCCCGTATCCACATCGTAGGAATGATTTTCCGTGTGTATGACATGCTACACCACATCGTTGCCACCCTGTATTAGCAGTTGGTCTACGGTGATAGATTGCTGGATTGGGCTTGGAAGCATGCGTACGAACCCCGAGCGGGTCTTTCTAGTGCGTTTGGCATTGCCTTGGACGTCAAGAGTTCTTGGACACTGACGGAACGATTCAAAGTCCCTGCGCGAAGCTGGGTTGGGACTGCGTTATCGTTATGTGCTTGGGAAGTATGCACTGCATCGATGTCTTTCGTTTCGTGCGGCGATGCGAGTCCGTGCCCACTCAAAGGGCCGACGATCCATTCCCGTTGAATACGAGGCTTTCGCAAGCCCCTCGTCGGTGATTGGCGTGGCAGGTGCCCGGGCAGAGCAAAACAATCTTCTGTCGAAAGCCGCCCTCCCGGAACCGAGGACAGAAGGTTGCATCGGTGCACGCAGGACGTTAGGTCACGGGTAGTCCAGGTCTTGCTTCGAGACATTTTTCGCCTTCCACTTTATGGCGTTCGATCCTGCTTCCCGACCATGGAATTCCAGAACAAAACCGGGACTTTGCGTCGTCCGATCGCGTCGTTTCAGGTTTCGACTCTTGATTTTGGTCCGTGCATCGCCATCCCGCAACGAATCGTCACCGATCGTCACAGCGTACTCCTCCGTGGCCTCGAAATATTTCCCGACGATGCAAGTCCGGCCATCGATGTCTGCTGCTCCGTGTTTCAACCCAACGATCTGACAGCGGCGACCACCGAGAGGGCTTTTCAGAACTTCGACGAGCTCGTCGTTCTCGGCAAAACCCCGGGCGATATCCATTGCCGTGACATCCCCTACCCCCGGTGGTCCCGGTGCCGTGGCATCCTTGTCGGCACCCCACTCGAGGAAAAGCATGGCGATAGACTCGTATCGTTTGCAAGTACAAGAGGCCAAGAACGACGAGAGTCCCATTGCCGTTGGAGAATTGATATCGGCACCGTTTTGCAAGAGAAACCGGACCAAGTTTATTCTGTTTCCCTTTGTTGCATGGTGGAGCAGGGTCATTTCGTTTGACTTTGAATTTTTGGCATTGATGCGTCTCGATGGAATGGGTGGATCACCAAGCCATTCCAGAACCATTTCGACGTTGTTGTTTTCACAGGCAACTCCAATCTCGTTAGGCAATTCATCGTAGTCTTCCGTCTGTGTATTGTATTCTTCGAGCACGATGCCGTCGCTTATTTGCTCCTCTAAGTCCCGGATTTGACAATCGAAGTGAACATGCGCCGTCTCGAGTATGGATCGAAGCGTCCTCTGTTGGAGTTCGGGCGAAAGATTGCGGATTCGCACGATTTCGCTGTCCCCGATGTTTCCGTAGAAGCCTTTCGTATAGTTGTAATCTGCTGTCCCGGGAAGGGCTGGCAACGGGCAGGGGCGTTTGTTAAGTTTGTTCTCCAGGTCGGATCGCAACCTTCGGAAGGATTCGAGCTGCGCAACCATAGATTTGGTCACGGGTATTTTGCTGCGGCACTCGGGACACGTTTTTTGTTTGTCAAAGACGTGTCTACATCTCCACGAGTCCAGGCAGTCCGAGCAATACCTATGATTGCACGGAAGTGTGATCGGGTTCTTCAACGTGTCTTGGCATATGGCGCATTCATGATTACCGCAATCATTGGCATTCGTCATCGTTGATCCGCTCGCCCCAGAATTCTAAAATTCGCTGCATCCTCGCACCTAGTTCATTTGAGAGTATGGCGCATTTCTAAAGGTCTTTCAAGAAAAGAATATTTGCCCGGAATTCCACATTTACTGTTGTGCTCTTTAGCATTGCTGAAAAGGCTTTTCGTATGTCACAAACCTGAAGAAGGACCATTCCAACCTAATTGTTGGTGACAGGTTGAAGGTCACATCCATCGATTGATGATGGAACGGGTTGTTTTTTTGATAACGTCCGTGATTGGTTGTTTTTGGTCGATTTAGTCGAATTTACCGTGTGAGTACTGTATATCGTATTTCTGATTCAAAATGGTTAAAAATCATAACCGAAGGATAGTAGTACTACGTACTTATCAACTACATTGAACTGAAAACAGTGTCAAAGCCATTTCTTATGTAGGTTTTTCCAAACTCCATAGATATGTGCAGGAAGAAATGGTGATGTTCATATTATGCCATGTTGGACTGCCCAAAACGATTGGGAGCAGAGCTAGTATTACTCTACTGATGAGCAGAATACACCAATAGTAGTATCTTTGGTTGTCTTTCTCGGCGCTGGTGTTTGGGATCATTGAAATGATGTCTCTTCGAGAAGAAACAGTTTTCTTCATTACCCTGCATTTTCCGTCGCTGGGATGCAATGCCAGAGAACTTGTGCAAGCATTGAATGCAATAACTGACGCGTACACAATATCTACATCATCCAACGACTGTGTCAAGGTTTCGTCACTTGATCCTGGGAAATGCGGTCAAAACGGCATCGTTTCGTTTGAGGAACTACTTGTTGGTCCTCGACGAGACCACTTTCGAGTGAAATCGAGGATGCCCAGTCGCCGGTGATTTTAGGATCGCACCCATTTTGGCGGGAAATCACACTTGTTATAGCAGAGCAGACAGCGTCTTCTGTTGGCGGTTTGCAAATCGATGGATTCATAGAAATGTAGTAGAAAAGCCCGTCTAGGTCATCGATGCTGTGTTTTGCGAGTTGTTCAATGAAAGAAACCTTCGATACCCTTTCTCGTATACTGGGGTGGAGGACAGATTTTCGACCACGTTGGTTCAATCGCAGGAACAACTGCTTTTTCTCTCGCAAGCTTCCACCACCGCGGTAAAAGTCAAGGTCAAACAGAAAGAACGAGAAGAATTCCAGGGAAAGATTGCATTCTAGCATATCCAAACCGATTTCGATCAGGTTTTGGACTATCTTCTTTCGATTGCTGTTGTTGTCACCTTCTTTTGACAGGGTGAATTCCAAATTCCGATCCTCCATGTTGTACTGCCTAAACTTTCTCAATGAGCTATTAGTGTTAGTTTTCAGGGCCTCAAACAAAGACTGAACTGAATCGTTGAAATCATTATGGAAATCAGAGAGGTAGGCGCCAGAGTCTTCACCAATGCTATTTATGATGGCCGTTGATGGATCGAGCCGGAGGCAAAGCTCTTTCAACGTGTTGTTGTGTTTTAGCATTGCGGCGACTTCTTTGAATTCAGAAAAGGAGATACMGAAGTCCATATCAAATGTCTCCAGGGTTTCGTTGGATCGCAATGCGACCATTGTGTCAGCAAAGTTTTGACGCCTTGTCGCGTTTCGAATCATTTGGACTGTACGGGCAGTAGAGGTCTCCAGCACCACCGATCGCAATTCCGAAGAGCACCTCAGCAAATGGGCGAGGGGTGCATCGCGGGACAATTGCATTGGCATTTCGATTCGAAGTTGGCGGAGTCGATGCATCGAGGCAAGATGCCCTAGAAAGCGTTCGTATTGGTTGTAGCCCTCGTCGTCATCCTTGCCATCGTGGTCATTATCGATATCATTATCTTCGTCGCTGCTACTTCCTGTGTTGTCTCTATGAAAATGGCAATTTTCAACCCAAAGTTCCTCGATTGTTGAGTTGTTTCGAAAGAGGAGTTCTGAGTGCTCTAAATCGAAGGTTGTGAAACAATCAAGTTTCACTTTCGACAAGCGTGGGATAAGACGCAGTGCTTCAAAAAGTCGTCGCAAATCATCCTCGTTTACGACGGAACCTTGGTATCCTCTCAATAATTCTACACTCGTTACGGTTCGATTTCTCGACAATCCTATAAGTAGTCGGTCCCATTGATCTTGGTCGGATCTACAAAGGTCAATGTCCAAGTCGACAAGGGACGTGAAATCTTCATCGTCGTTGTGAGTTAAGTGATAGATCACCCATTCGATATCCATACTGTTCGAACGAGAATGCGGAGCCCATGTCTAAAAGTCAGCTGCAAATAAAGTTTATAGATTGCGGAACTTGGACGGCAACATTACTAAACCACTGCAGTGGATGCTTTGAATACGGAATAACAATGCCGTGCCGGGAGGGTTGCGGAGGTGATGGTGTAGGAATGGCTGTTGTGCGGATTGAAAAACAAGAGAGATGAAGATTGGCGAATCACGTCGAACGGTGGCGCGTGGATGTGAGCGAGTTAGAAATCGGATTCAATGGATATTGAATTTAATTTGAATCAACAGCACTCTTTATTTGTACCGTTAGTACGTACCGTAACTCGTACTGTACGATCGTAAATCACAGGGATTTGATTATTTTTTGATTCCTCACTCTGTTAGACAGTAATCTCGCGGCTATCACTTCACTAAATGATGAATGTGTAGATAGAGGAGATGTATTGAATATGTATGTTATTGTTAGATTTCTAAGTTGGTAAACACAAGAAAAGTGAGATCAATCTTATTCTTGGGTTTTCTTGATAATCTGGCTCTTGTGGCCTTTCTCTCTGGATTTATTATTTCCCAGGTTTGTTCTGTCCTGCAACGGATTATTTTGAATCGTGTGTGCGAGCCTGTCATTCTCTGTCTGTCATGCGTACGCTCTCCAACACACTCCTGCAGTCTCTCAGTGGCCTCCTGATCACTGATGAGATTGTACCGTTGTAGGACCTCATAGTACTTTTGCTTGTACTTATCAAAGTCAATTGGGTTCACGCCCAATACTGCATTTCGAAACTTGTAAAACAGAGCTCCCTGAACCGGTTTCGTGAAGAAATCGGCAATCATTTCTTCGGTTGGACAATACTGTACCTTGAGGTGTTTCTTTTTGATTCGATCGGTAACAAAGAAATATCTTATGTCGATATGCTTGCTACCCTTGCCCGCCGAGAAACGTCCGTTGTTCTCAAGTAAAATAGTGCTCTGATTATCTTGCATGAGGATATCCTCCTTGTCATACCCTCCTTGTGCAATTCGAAATAGACGAAACCACATTGACTTTGGCAACTTTTCGCCAACTGCAACTATTTCAGTTTCGGTACTACTGACCGTATTTAGTTTGAGTTTGGTCGATGAACTATACATTGCTCCCTTACCCTCTGTGCAATACACACCTCCATGACCTTTCATATCGGCATGCACTGCGTGTGCTCCGTCCATGTAGGTGATCGAGCCTTCTCCATCGGATTGAAGTATGAGTGGAAGATATCGTGTCTGCTGGATATACTTTGCCAGGTGTCCTAATTTCTTCCAATCATGCTCGTCAGGTGATTTGACTCTAGTGCACAAAAATCCGCAAGGCAATTGTAAATCAACCCTGCACCTCATTCCCAAATACAGAATCGTTGCTGTCAATGTGTGAAATTCGTCCGCACGCTTCTTGTCTAGTAACTTGCAGTCCGTTCCATTCGTCTTGAATAGATATTCTGATGTGGCTGTCGGTTTCTCACCGATCATCTCACTTGGAAGCTTGTCGATGAGTTTCTTGATGTAGTCATACATGGTAATCTCGATTTGCCCACTGGTCGTAAAATCCAGCGTCATACCAAGATACTCATGAATCTTTCCTCTGGTGATTGTCAGGGGATCGGTCTTACCGTACACGGCTGTCAGTTGCTTCAGTACGTTGGTAACAATTATGGGATCAACATGGCTAATAATCCCATCGTCCACATGGAAAACGATTGTCAGCTGTGAATTGCTCACGTTTTTGTTCCAGACACATGGATCATATGGATTCATCTCCAAACCCCACTCTTGTAGATGTCCAGTCAATTTCTTGTATGCAAGTATAGCTGCGTTCAGAGTTCCGTAGATAGCTTTCTTGCACAAAACATAGATGACCGGTCTTCCTTTTTCCTTCCGTAGGTGTTTCTGCCACTGATCTCTGTCGTATTCGACGAGTAATAAGGCTACTGCTCCAGTAATCTTGAGATACAATTCCTCATCCATGTCTGTTTGTAAAAAATGTGCCGGTAAATCGAATGTAGCTACATCACAGTCTTCCATTGCGATTATTGCAAGTACATACTTGAGCGCTTCTGCCGCTGGTGTTGGCGAGGACACATCACGCTTATCAGTCCATATGCGCTGTGGTCTCCCATCCGCACACCCTCTAGATTTCAGTTGTCCGCTGCGTTTGAATATCATGAACATGAGGATCGGAAGTGCCTTCCGCTTCTGTTCATTAGTTAGGCTCTCATAATTGACCTCTCCAAAGCAGTCTCGTGACACTAAGTTACCGAGCTCCTTCATGACTGATGCTTTTCCTTCGTCACCATGACGTTTCAAACCCTCTCGGACACTCATCTGAGTCATAGCATAATCGCTAATGAAATCGTAGTAGCTGAAATTGTCCTCAATGAAATTGAGTGCTTGTATGTAATTCTGTCGTTCATGTTGCGACAGAGATCTGACTTTGTCTGGTGATGTAAAATCGGTCATATTGCATACATGAGTGAGCTGTAGGTCACACCCAAGATTATCGATTGCCTCGCTAACACTCAAGTAAACAAAGTCGTCATCCTGTGTGCTCCTTACGACACGTCCACTCTGTGTACGTATCTGGTCATCTTCCGATGAGTTGTCGTCATCTGAATTATCATCATTCACTCCTGTGATTTGTTCATCATTATGGTCCACTCCTGCACTTTGTTCATCATCGTTGAGTTCTTCCGTGATTTCATCCTCTGGTTCAAACACAATCTCTATCTGGCTATCAGTTGAATCTGTTGAACTGTCATCATCCGAATCGTCGTTTGGTTCAGAAGCGATGTCGGGGGGTCCACTCCTGTAGTCCCGACAGTGTCAGTTGGATCAGTGTCGGAACTAGAATCGTCCGGATTAGATGTTGGGGTTGATTCAGGATCATCAGGAAGATCAACGGTGATGTCAGCATGAGTAGTAGGATCATAATCTTTGTCATCGGAATCATCATCCGGATCAGGGTCATCCATGATGTTATTTCGGTTTCCAAAATGTAGCCCCGAGCGACTCTTACGGGCCATCCGATGTACACGTTTGATCACATCAGTCGGCATGGGCAACAATTGATAATTGTCTTTAGTTCGAGTGAGGATCCGTCCAGTATCAAGGCTGAAAAACAGTATGCCCCCTTGCAAATTCCCGGAGGGGCCAATTGCAATTGCCCCAACAGTCCGTTCGCACATGGTGTTGTCCGTGCCTTCGTAAGTCTGGGCATATTCACCAAAGATAACTTGAAAATGAAGCTTGTAGCTCAGGAGATGTCCCTCGACCAATGTAAGAGGACTGAGTTCCTTGGAGACACCATCTGGCCACGGAAATGCTTTGAGGTAGAAAACTACATTCTTGAGTAAAGCAACAAGAAGTCTCTTGGGAATTCGTTCAAATGGCAACATTGCAAAGGATGAGCGGCATCGTTCCTTGATCACTCGAATGAATCGTTCGATCTCAGGCACGTGTTCTTCTTTGGACACAATGTTCACTGAGATTTGATGGTTCTTAAGACGCTGAGCAAGTGATTTGAATTGCATATCTACCATGATATGTGTAATAGTGAATCCTTGTAATTGGTACGACTGTGATACCGATAAGAGCGCCTGTTCAAGATCGTTAGCTTTCAGTGTCGGCAGTATGCAGACAGTCCCATAGTGAATTCCACGTGAAATTGTCGCTAAGAAAGGGACTTGGTTGACATGTAGTACGTCGGCTGCTAAAGTGACATTCTTGTAATCCTCAAGGATATTAGGTGGAAGGGGAACCAACTCTTGTGTCTCCACCTGATCACTTTGCCTTGCCGTTCTTTTCCCTTTCAGTCCGTACACGCTTGGGCCTAACATTTTCTTAGTTAGTCCAATATCACGAACAGTGAAGGGAAAGTCGTTGATTGGTCTTCTAGTTGCTGCTGTAGTCAGAGCTTGGTCACTCGGATGAGCAGCTATATGTTGGAAGCGACGGAGCTTCTCCGCTTTATACACATCACGTTTTGTGTATTTTTCCTTGTTGTCTTGAACCGTCTCGATTACAGCCCGTTCTGTAAGACTCGTTGCGTGAGATGGGAAATGGTGACTCGTGTGGACTGTTGCTCCAAACACCATATTTGGTTTCCCAGCTCCGAAACTGTTTGCACAATCATAATAATACAGACCTTTCCCATCTGGTTGGAAACGACAGATTGATCCGTCAGGAGTTTCCATTTGGAAAGACGTATCTCTCCTTCCTTGTGAATCAACCCGGCTGGTATAATCGATCTCAAAACCTTCCGTCTCCTGTATCGCATGAAAGGACAGTATGTTTGCGATCCCTTCACGATGCAGCCACACAGTACCCACTCCAGGTAGTTCTCCCACTTCATTAATGGTTGCACTTCCGGCGTTTGTGTGAAGGATGAGCTGTCTCTTGGTGGTTCGTATATTGACTAGGAACATTGGGTTCCAGAATATGTGTATGGTAGACTGATTATCTAGCAAGACTCGATCAAGTCTACCCTGCAGATTCCTTGTGTTTAGGCAATGTCGATGATTTCCTCACAGGTCTTCCACGTACGGTTCTGCGGGATATTCAAAGCTATGATGGACAAATCCGTAGGCATGTAATATCTCATCCTTATCCAGTTCGTCGTCGAAATCGAAATCAGACGATTCCACCATGAATGTGGTCGCTGTGTCGGCATCGGATGATTCTATCATGAGGTTCGTCTTGGTTTTGTTTTGCTTTCGATCGTTGATCGGTTTCCCATCAATGGTGGTATCGAAAGTACAGTTCGGTGATATATGGTCCTCACGTCCGCATCGATAGCATACTATCTTGCGCTCAGACCGTTTGTTATTAATTATCTTGTCATGCTGCTCTCCATCAGGTGCATTCGCAGCATCTACACCTGATTGAAATCCGATTTCTGTTGGAATGTGTGTCCTGGCATTTGGGCCTTCACATTTCCTCCGTTTTCGGATTGCTGGTTATTGTTCTTATTACCGTTTCCCTTGGGCTTATTTTTCTGCTCCGCTGCATAATTTTCAAGGAGTGCATAAGCATCATCAACGGTTTGTGGGATATGATCAGTACCCTTTGTGAAGTCATTCTTCAAATCGCGTCTGCATTCGGAGTATCGGTCTCCTGCCTGTTTCATGAAAACTAGTGCAAAGAATTGGTCTTCGACTCTATTGTTGATGCCTGATGCATAGTCCTTGTATTCTTGGGTCTTCGTTCCCATTTCTTCCTTGAGTTTCTTTTCAAGGAGGTAGTCCTTGTGTTGTTTCGATACAAGGTCGATACCAGCCAGTTTCGCTGCCTTACGCTTTTCCATGAAGTGCTCGTAGTAATCAGACAAGGTCATGTTTGATCCGGACATGGTCATGATGGTATAGAGACTTTCCACATGTCTTGTAGGGAAATGATCAATGGTGTGTGCTTTATTGCATACGTCGCTGATCAATGCGAATAAGGCCGGTGAATCTTTCACCGATTCAATGTTGGTGAAAGTCTTCTCGGATCTGAGTTTGCTTCTCAACGATGAAGTCGTTTGTCCCCAAATGATTGCGTAGCATGAGGATAAGTTCCTCTTCAGTAGGGCAAGCGCCTCGTTGTATCTCTTCATTTCGATTTTCCATTGTTCTTGTTCCCAAAATGGAAGAGTATCAAACTGTGTCTTCGTTGCATGTTTCACTGGATGGGTGATTCCTAGTAGGGTCACTTTTCCTTTTTCAATGGATGTTGCTTCACTCATGGTGTATTTCTTGCCGATGTATGTGAGTAATTTCTCCTTCGAAGTTAGCCACTTGGCATCCATTCCTTTCCCGTAGATAAAGATGTGCTGGTTCTCAAGACCAGCGGTCTCACCTTGAAAGCGCTTCTTAAATTCGGTGTTGTTCTTGTTGTTTTGCGTCTTTCCGGACTGTTGTCCGGACTTGACTTTGTTGCTCCATGTAGTCTTTGACTTGCCATGTTCATCCGTCGTCATGCCAGTCTTATTGGAGTATGAGCTGCTCTTTAGGATAGGATCCTTGGCGATGGTCACACTCTTGTTGTTGGTTTTGTTGTCGCTCATTGTGGAAGTCCTTCTTCTCTTGATGCGAAAGAAATAAAATGGAAATAGTATCGTAGTGAGTCCTTTTCACGAATAATACAATTACCTGTTGAAAATCCCTTTTCTTGTGTTTATGTTAGACAGTAATCTCGCGGCTATCACTTCACTAAATGATGGTGAATGTGTAGATAGAGGAGATGTATTGAATATGTATGTTATTGTTAGATTTCTAAGTTGGTAAACACAAGAAAAGTGAGATCAATCTTATTCTT